CAAACGATTCCTTAAGTCAGAAAATAAAGGATGCAATTGTTATTCAATTTAGGCGAAGAAGTAAATTAAGTTTTTTGTAACAAAATCATGAAACAGCTGCTCCTACTGTAGAATTTAAAAAATCTGCAATGCGGTTGTTAACTGATTGAACGTTTCATGCTTAAGCATTAAATTGTTGTTTGATTTTACTCCCCTGGTCGAGTATGATATGAAACGTCACAAGTTCTGTATATAATAAGATTGACAATCAAAATAACACTGATGTTGCAGGAGAAGAACAATGAAGTTTCTGCTTGAAATATGTATATACGATAAACTTTAGTTTTCGATGTTAATGTTTCGGTTGGAATTTCTAGCCCGCATCTTCCCTGTAATGAAACTCAAATCTTCCTTTACTTCCTTTAATCGCCATAGACAAAAACTAATTTTGAAGCACTGTTGGACTGCCAACCTTTACTTATAAAAGTAATCGATTTCATTAGTTCGCTGATGAGAATTGAAAACTACAGCTGACACCTCTTCCCATAAGAACAAGAATTTGTCGCATGTAAACATTTCAAATGAAAATTTGCTATCCTTGTTTATAATAAGGTCTTATTTTGACTTTGAGTCTCATTTTAAAAATCTTATGTAAATAGTTCTAATGCTGTTTTACGATAACCGTTCATGACTACTCATATAACATTACGTACTCATACTCGCATTGCGTTGCTCCACTTTGGGCGTTGTATCACCGACATGTAAACGCAATGAACGTTTCTTAATGTATTTTTTAGGTGAATCTAACATCTATACGCTTGGAAACATAGGCGATCATGTCGTAGTTTCAACCAAATTGTCAGCAGTGGGTTCTTCTCGATCAGCAATGATATCCGCAGGGAGCATTACCACTCGATTGCTTGGTATGTTTTCATATGACGTTTCAGTTTCATTACGTAAGGAATTTATATGTCAATCACAACGGGAAATACCTGCTAAGCTTTTTATTTTGCATAAGGCGTAATCTTGTTGGCGAGTTCTTATTTTTTACTTGGTACAGAAACAAATCCTCCTATCTGTCCCTAATTGGAAACTGTAAACCAAGCTGCACCAGATCACCTTCAATTAAAATTAGCCGTCTAACGGTTACGTCGCTAGAATGCGGTTAATGGGTTTCTCGATATTTCTAACTTAGAATGCGACGATGTGAAGCTGGTCTACCAAAGGAAAATGAACAATTTCTTCACTATATTTAATAAGTTTGGTTTGGGGAATTTCAGCATTGACTGAGCTTCATATACCTTAAAGACATACCTTCTATGGTGGCAAACAGATCACGAAAAGGGACGTTAAAGATAAATTACTGTTACAGAGCATACCTTAGACCATTGACAACAGTGAAATGAAAGTAAGAGTTGTTTGAAATTCCTTAAAACACCTGTCCGCTAGAAAGCCGCATCATCATCGTACTTAGCAGCAGCTGTCAATGGGAGACGGGTAATTTGAAATCAGAAAGATCGAAAAAGTAATCGGGAAGGGAATTTCACTACGCATATTGCCAGGAACACCACAGTGGTATAGTAAACTTCAAACTCACGATGCTTATCTGTGATGCTAAGGGAGAAACCTTATCTCATCAAGAGATTGATTGAGTGTTTCCACCAGCTGTGTTCCACGTTTAGCCTTTCTAACCTTTAACGTTTCTACGAACACTGAAAGTTATCTCATATTCACTTAAAAAGCAAGAAACGCAAAGTATGTTGCAAACCTGTGATGCGACGAATTCTCAAGATGTCAATAATGTATAGAGGAATAGAAATGATAGATAAACTTTATCGATTTCTTGAAAAACAACAGCAAAAAACTGCTTTTCAAACGAGAAGTAATAGCAGTTGTTGAACAGCGTCTATTAGCCTGCCTTCGACGCATCATGAAATTTTAATGGCAGTTATGAATTTGTCCCCTTTCATGCACATGTATCCTTATTAGAACTTATATGCGGTACAAGCATGGTGACATGGGTAAGTATATCTTACAGAGGTACCAGATTTAAATACAGTACGCGGCACAGGGTTTCTCTTGATAATTGATTGTTCAGGTAATCTGTTCTATTATGCTTCCTTGCAACCAGCTGTAAACGCGCCGCAAATAACTCACATAGTAAAGACATCATAATCATGGCTGCGGTTCATCTTGACTTACCTGTTAGGTGACTATATAATGATGATAAGTAATCATAGTACGGTGACATTGATTCGCACCACGCCACGTTGAAGACAGCATAAATCACGGCTTATTTATACACAACGCAGGTATTACAGATGATTGACCATCAGCAACGTTTCTGCCCGTTTTTCACAAAAGTGAGAAGTGAGTGTACTTTGGAATTCCTTCGTTTGCCTATTCATACGTTTAGGACCAGAAGTCCGTCTAGATGAACCGTGTTTTCTGCTGTTTTCATAATTACAGTCAACACACGAACTCAATACCGCATCTTCGGTCAGATGTAACGCTTATCACATGCTATTCATAGGTACCTTTCCCGGCGTTGAACATGTGTTTATCGTCGGTGCTGGTGGCGGAGTGCCGGATTTATCGGACAATAAGCGGGGCGTTCGCTTGGGGGACGTCGTTATTTCTGCCCCTTCTCCGAATCGCGGGAAGGACGTGTACATATTTTGTGAAAAGTTACATCGAAGCCGGGAAACAAATGAAGTACGTGCTCTTTGAGACACCGTGGTTCGTAAAGCATAGTAAAATGGTTTATAGGTCGAAGGTTTCACCGTAAATTCCTGGATACCAGATGAATCTGCCATTGAATCCATAGCAAAAAAAATGAGGTAACACCTTTTAAACTACGTACAATATTTGTAAAACCATGTCATTAAACCAATCTCATTATCCCATCATAAGTCAAGACAGTATTTAACCTCGAAGACTGCATATAATTAGCATATATCCCTTCGATATGCTTTTACTTATGCCAATTCTTGTGGATATACCATTGAAAACAATACTCACTGCTAGGCGTGAATCCATTTTTCAGATGTGCCAGCGTTGCAGGGGACCCGACATGGCTGAAGTACGTTGCTGAAGGCATTAAAGTGTTGTCTGAGGCAGGCGTGTGCGAAAGATTCTCCTTCGACAGGCCTCCCATCGAAACTGACATTGTTACATCTAAGACAAAGTCACAGATGGAAAAGAACTCGCTGCCGCTATTGCACCTGGGACCGATTGGCGCCGGTCGCTTGGTAGCTCGGGTGTCAATGTTGAGGAACGAATTCGCACGACGTTACGGAGTTATCTGTTTCGATGCTGAGTTCGACGCAGTCGTACAGTCCATCTTTGGCAACAGGATTGGTAGCTGGGCACTAATCCGAGGCATTGCCGACTACGTCGACGGCACGAAGAGCAAACAGTGGCAGCCGTACGCAGCGATGCAATCAGCCGCCGTCCTGAAAACCCTCCTGCTGAACATGCCTCCTCAGAAATAAAGCCGATAGCGTAATCGTTTTCCACTTTTACGCAGGTCCCATTATTGTATAAATTTTACGATTCTTTTGCATACTGCCAGTTTTTTGTACCTATGCTTTATATCCGATGGAAGCCGAGCCGATGAAATGTAGCTTT